TTATCCATAACTAGAACAATTTCACTCCCTGCTATGGCGGGGGTGAAATTACTGTAATAAGTGCAACGTCTCTCCTTTCAGAAACCGTTGGAATTTTTCAGATAGCGCAACGTGTGGCGGGATTACAGTACTGCAAATTTACCTGGATCGTGCTCCGTTTAGGACTTAAAGGGAGGTTTCAAGTTTTCACAGATTTTAGCTACTTGCGGCTGGCAGTGACCCCTAACCCCTGCAAATACTGGGGCGTTCACTGTACCAGAATGGCAAGTAAGTGTACTGCCATATTCAGCAAATAGAGGATGTCTCTTTACGTTTTTTTTTTAACAATAAAAACAGCATCATTTCTAGGTTGATTCAATGTGAATCCTTGGAGCAAACTTTGACCAAGTAGAGAGTACAGACATAAACCGATCGGTTTATGGACTTATTTATGGGATCCAGGTAATGTAGAAAAAAAAATCTTTACATTACATTTACATCCTCAGAAACACGTTCAAGAACAGCACAGAGGCCACTGACTCTGCAGTCATTCCCAAACAATTACTCAAGTGCTTTTAGAGCCATTAATTTCGATTGCTGTGTTCAATTCAGGCTTCCTGAGAGAGCGGCGTATTAAAGTGCATCGGGAATGAAAGAAGATTTGCTCTTCCCTGATGAGGGTCACAGCAGGGCTGCAGTGCACTGGAATTGGTTTCAGCATATTCTTTTGAACTAACCATCCAATTCGGGCCTTTTTTAAAATTTTATCCGCCAGGAGCTTTATAAGGACTCATTTTTTTCCCCCCATAAAGATAGCCGACACTAAAAAGCACCTTTAAGACACATGTCTGAGCAGAGAAACTGAAGAGCACCACCATTTTTTCCCCCTTCTAACTTTATGTGAAACCCTAATTGAGAAGAAAAGACAGGCATCATTATGGAAAAGGTACATCCGTATCAGTAGAGCCACATGGAAATGTTTCATTTTGTTTCTTACGAGCTGAGACGGAGGGAGTTTTTGCCATGTTCTTTAGCCTGTTCTTCAGCCTTTCTTCTTCCGCTGTGATCTGGGTCAGGGGCTCACATCTCAGTTTTTAAATAACATCCAAAACAAGATCTTTTGCTTCTTGTTTCGTGTAAACCGAGAGATATGTTTAATGTTTTGCAATGTTTTTCTGATTTGTATTTTTGCCTGAAGCCATGGCCTTCAACGTTGTTCCTCCATGCCACGCTGACATCAAAAACATGTCGTTTCTTCTCTTTGGTATGCAAAGTCTCCCCACATAACAGAGCCACCTTGCACCCTACAACCTCATAAGGTGACTTATTGTTTAGAGATAAATGCAGCACTTTAAAACTTCATAAAAATGATTTTGTTTATTCTTTAAAATGAACTTCTGGTTTGGTTTATTTTACACTTTTGATCTTCTCTCCGTAACTCATTTCTACGGCCAAACAAAATATGCATATTGTTGTTTAGCAACATTATGTTACAGTGAACCTCTGTGTATTTGCGGTGAAGTATTCACACATTTTTCTGTGGAGCACGTTGCAAAATATTCACAGAGAATTTGCCAAATCGTTAAGAGGGCTTTAAAAATATGAATATTGAATCATTTTATTACATTTTTTTGTTTAATAAGAAGAATTTTTTGTTTTATTAAAGGTTGTCTTCAAAAGGGATTTTTGGGTCACAGAAGCGTCATCAGAACGCACATTTTAATTTAACAAATATATACAACTGTGCACATTTTAATCAAGCTTTAATAATATTTGAATCCAGAGCTTCTGCAGTGGCAATGCTGAGAAACTTACTGTACTACAGTGCTGAACTGTCACCTGGCACAGTGTGCACTTATCCCACACATTCTTTTTGTTGAAGTCATACTTTATGAGTAAAGGTTTCTCCCCGGTCCCCTGAGCTGTTTGGTTCTGCAACAGTCCGTTCTTGGCCTTGTTCATTTTTTCATTACACATGCTGCCTTCATGTTCCCCTTCAACATCCCCCTCCAAAGTTTTACCACTCAGCTAAAGTCTTGCTGGATAAACCCCCAGCTGTCTCTGTCCTGTTTACTTGGATGGCTTTAAAAAAAAGTTTAATTTCTTGAAAACTTTAATAGCAGGAAAAACTGATGATTCTTGCTATCCTGAAGAGTATGTACACAGATGTGCAACTTAACAGATTAGACTACGTTCACACTGCAGCCTGAAGTGACTCAATTTCGATTTGTATTTATTTATTTATTTATTTATTTATTTATTTATTTATTTTTGTCAAATCGGATTTTTATTTATTTATTTTTGCCGTCATCGTTCAACGCTTCTGTGCTCTCCGGTGTGAACTGCAAATGACCTGAAAGTGTCCCGCATGCGCAGTAGAGGGCGCAATGACGTCACATAGAGCGTGCTCAGTGTTTGCGGAAGTAAACATGGACGCTAACGGTGGATCGTAGGTTCTGATTTTGAAGTTGTTATCAGACCGGAGCCAGCAAATTAACAACTTAATCCTCATTGTAGTCCGCCGTGATTGTTGTTTTTCTTGACGCTTGCACGTATCAGGACGCAGAATAGTGACGTCCGTTACATTTTCAGTTGATGTGGTTCACTTTCACAATACGCTGTCAAACAAACCAAAACCTATGAAGAAACTGTTCACCTCCTCGCCTGTGGTGGCGCTACACCAAGAACCACTGAAGAGAAATGACATATGAAGAAGACAACTTATTTCCTCACAAAATGCAAGCAAAAATGGGATAGTGTCGGATTTCAGCGGTTGTAAGATTTCACTTTTGTCTTGGCAAAAGAACATGTTCCATTAGTCACACTTGTGCAAGACTCACAGGATTGTTTTGGTTATATTTACCCAGAATGCCCTGCGCTGTAGTCTGCTTCCTGGTTTTGGAGCGGTCACCAGTACACTTAGCATTCAAATATGTATGCAAACAGAACCAGAGCTGAGATCAAGGTTTTAAGGCGGCCCAGAGTTTAGTTTTTTGGTTCATATTGGAGTTGCACATTCACACCCCCTCAAAGAAAGTTGGACTTTTAAAAAAAACAAACTGGAGTTTGATTAAAGTGAACTTAGCAGGGCTGCCGTGTGAATGTACCCTATGCGTGCAGTAATTTAGATAGATAACATGAGGCAGATGTTTGTTTTTAAAGAAGAGGGACTGTGTAAATCATTGCAAAAATTGTTGCTATATTTAGTCAAATATAATAAAGGTAGATTCATTAAGTTTAAATGAATCTGGACTGGTGTAGTTCTATTCACTATGAAATTAAAGAGAATGCAGAAAGCATGGCTAATAAAAGACACATTTTTTGTGCAGCATATATATTTTTATAATTAAAAATGATAACCACAAGTGTCCACAGCTGAGTGTGAAGCAGCCCGTATGAGATTTAGCTCATCTTAGTCTGAGGTTTTGGTTCTGGCTCTGAACCAGAAAAAGGCTGAGAACCAACCTGGGGGTCAGTTTCTGCTTTAAGTGAAGGAGTTTAATCATCTTGGTGTATTGTTCACAAGTGACGGCAGCATGAAGCAGGAGATGGACAGAGGACTTGGGGCTTCATCTGCAGTGAAATGAGTGCTGCTCTGGTCTGTTGTGGTGTAGAAACAGTTGAGCAAAAGCATCGAAGCTCTCGATTTATTGGTCCGTCTACGTTCCGACCCTCACCTGTGGTCATGAGATGTGGATCATAACACAGAAAACGACATCGCTGGTAGAAGTTACTGAATGTGCTGCAGAATGGCTGCTGGGTTCCTTCCTTTGGTTTTTCAGGCACATCCCCCTTGGAGGAAGACCCAGAACTCAATGGATGGACTATAAACCCATCTGACTTTGGGATTCCTAAGAATAATCTGAAGGAAGTCAATGGAGTTTCATCCAAGATCCATTGACCCAGTCTCAGATGAGACGACAGATTTGTGGGTAAGTCTCGATCTGCATCAAGTTAGTAGCTTAATAAAATAGAGACTGCAGATACAGATTGTTGTTAATGAGTGACCAACTAGTTGGAAACTCAAAATTCAGATTTTATTTTAATCTTTCTGCTTAATATTTCTTATGTTTTTGATTTTCTTTTTTTCTCACGCTTAAATGTTACCAATCGATCAGACAAAAATTACGTTCATAAATACTATTCAAAACAATGAAGCCATGGCCTAGTTACTGCCAGACATGCAGAAACAAGGACTCATTTAAACAGAACCTGTGTGAAAAAAATTAAGTTGGCTAAACGATCTCAAAAGGCTAAACATCATCCCCTTATCTAAAGAAATTCAAGAAGATGATTCTGACATCAATCTGGAAATGGCCATAAGGGGAAGCCAAAGTGGGAGACATTAGCCACTGATAGAGAAAACATAGAAAAATGAACCTCATGAGTGCCTGATCTACCAAAATTACTCCCATTAGCAAATTGATCACTTATCCAATAAGTCACAAAATAACTCAAAACATCTCAAGGACTGCAGTGGTCCATGTTCAAGCATCAGCAGTAAGAGAGTGACTGGCAAAAACAACATCCATGGAGAGTTTCAAGGTATAAACACAAAGCTCCTTCTCAAATTTGCCAAAGAGGTCTTGATTGCCTTGACATTTTGGACTGTGTTCTTCCAGTTACATCATGTCTAAAGCTAAAAGTATTCCAGAAAACAAGTCATCGGAGATCGTATGACGGGCTGCATTGCTGCTCTTAATACCTAGATGTCCTGATGTAATTGCTGGAACTATGACTTCTGCTCTCCAGCAGAAAATCCTGATGTCCAGTTTGCGACCTCAAGTTCAAGTTCACTTGGGTTATGCAGCAGAATGACGATCCTAAGCACACCAGCAAATCCATCTTTGAATTGCAAAGACTTAAACCCTACAAGTGAGATGCAGCTGCATTACTTTAAACTGTTTGAAAATCCTCCAACATGGCCGCCCACCCAGTAACCGCCAAAGTTTGAGACCAGACACCCAACGACCGGCAGGTCAAAGACGACGGAGGGAACGAATAAGAAGAAAACGCAGGTGTGCACATACTAAGTTGCTTTTATTAATACAGAACTGCATGCTACAGAGACTGTACAGCATAAACATTTATTCATTACAAAAAACATGGTTTTAGAACCATTTAAAATAACAGGAAAAAAACAAACAAACAAAAAGATAAGAGCATAAAATAGAACAGGAACATCACAGCCGTTAAGGAAACATTCAAACTATTTATCATTAGCATCTTAATAAACCAGAGAAGAAATCGACAGATTACAGTCGCGTCATGTCAACTACAATGGCACCGAGTGGATGATTCTCTTGTAGCTTTTTTACAGCCTCTTGCAACATCAACATGCCTATTTTTTCTATCTACCTATATGTAGTAGTGTACTTAAAAGTGGCAGTTTGTGTATTTTTTTGTATTTAATAGTTTTTTATGAACCTCCTAATATACATAATTTTGGCCCTCGTGGGTTTATACAGTATGATGTCCGTCTTTTTATTAAGTTTAAATTTTAATATTTGACAATTTGCTACCAAACACATTTGTTATAGCAACATTTATACTACATACATAGCAATTCTATGTAACGTCACAGCAAAGAATGGTATCAAAATAAAAATAAAAACAAACAACGAAACGAAACAAAAAACAAAAAAATTCCTACAGCGTGTTTTTTTTTTCCTTTTTCTTTTAAAACTGGGGGATGTGGGGGCTGAGGGCAAATTATCACAAAAAATTTGGCACGGAAAAATCTGTACACGAATCTACAGTCTGAGATGTGACTGTGCAATAAAAAAGAAGGGCTTTAAAACACTTTTTCCACTGAAGACACGGTACCCACTGCCTGATTTCAAGTTTTCTTTTCTTCCTTTGCATGTAAAATGGCTTATATAGACGCGGTTCTGGAAATGAAGTTGTGCATACTTCTTGTTTATGAGATCTACACAGAACAAGTGAAATCTGGGTGCTTTCAGCGAGGGGGAAAAAAAAAAACCCATAACAAAAGCTTTGTATTTTTTTTTTCTTATTTTAAATCCTCCTTGTAAAAATGGATCATTCATATAGTTGTTTAGCTTAAGAAAAAATCATTTGTACAATGTATCAAGAAACAAAAAATAGGGTCAAAAAGAGACACAACAAGATACAACAAGCAATCTCTAAAGCAATAAATACTACTGGTCCTAGCGTTGTGACATTTTTGAATTTTATAACCCTTGACCCCTCCCCACCCGATCCCCACCCTCCCCCCGTCGAACCCACCCAAACTTGCCTGACTCCGCCCCAAAAGGTAAACAAGAAAAAAAAAAAAAAAAAGACAACGCAGTGGAAGAATGCATATTTAACACAGTAATCACCCCTCCCCTCCCCGATATTCTGTACATTTAAACAACAAGTAACATCACAATTAAAATTGTTCCCCAGAGAGGCGTAGCCGCTAGCCCCCGCACCCCTCTGAGAGTTCGAACAGATATTGAATGATTGGTTCGCAGGCTCGTATTTAATACAAATAAAGAAGAAGAACCAACTCTTTCAGGAAAAAGGGCTTGTCGAATAACCTAGCCTACCTATTTTATATTTGTCTGTAAAACGTTTCGAAAGTGAAGTAGATTAGTTTTCTTCCTGTTTGCACTGTTTTATCGCTACAAAAGAAAAAACTCAGACAAAAGAAACAAAATTCATAAAAATTTTGGCAGATTCACAAAGCTATACTACAGCTCATTGTACTTTATAATAATTAGATTTTTTTTGATAATGAGGGGTCAAATATTGACCAATGAACTTCAATAAAACAAAAAAAAAAAAACAACAAAAAATTTCAAAGCCTTCGTGGCAAAGAAACAAAGACAAAATTGACTGAAAGTGAAATAGAGCAAAGAGAAAACCTAGAAAGTGTGTGTGAGAAGAAGGAAGGTAGATTATTCTATAGACTTGGTCACTAGCGACAGAGGCTGGGGGGCCGTGGAGGGGAGGAGCGAGTGGGAATGACACAGCGAAGCTGACGGCCGGATCATGACGGACGCCACGGAGGAGCCCGGCTGCCGCGAGGACGAGACGTCACTGTGCTCCAGAGCGCCGTTGTGGGAGGAGGCGCCGCCGGGCGTCTTGCTGGCGGCGGCCGCCGAATTTTCCAGCTGAACCAAAGATGGCGGTGGGGGCCCAGCCAGGAGGTGCGGGTGGTGGAGTGGCTGATGGGCCGGTTTCATAGTCAGTGAGAGAGGTTGCATTTGTTCAGTGTGAGGTTTGGACTCTTTCGGAGAGGGGGAGGGAACCACGGAGGAGGGAGAGGATGGGGGGGAGTCTAGTAAGCTTCCGTCCGTAGAGGGAGGACTGGCACAGCTGCCTTCACCTTGGATGTAGCGAATGCACTTTTTTTTTCTCCTGAGGGACAAGGTGAGAGAAAGACACTTTCAGAATCGTCGGACTCTGTGTTCCTCCAGCACTGAAGCTCACTTAAATGCACCTCAGCATCACTGAGTTAACCAAACCATGTTTGGTGAAATGCGACTAATGCTGTGGTGTACTTGAGTGTCTTCATACACTTTAAGCTAAGGAAAGGTGGTAGAAATACTACACCATCGAAAACAGACATTTAGGAAAGATTACGTAGCAGGAAGCAGGAAGGAAGTGAAAAACACAAACAGGAAGGATGAACGAAGATTAAAGGTGACCAGGTTTGCTCCCTGAATTTAGCATAAACCCTTTTTCACCTAGTCCCCAAACTACACATCAGTATCCATACAATCAAGAACAAGATCGAACGTGATCTATTAATTTGGGGAAAATGTTTTATGACTTAAGACTAAAAAACAATGGATGAAGCTGGTTGGCAATTACATATAGGGATTGTTTGCTGTAATCCAGTGGCGGCACCGCTAACGGAAAAGTTAGTTACGCTAACGCTTCTGTCCATAGAGGAACGACTGCCTTCACCTTGTGTCCTCCTCAGAGGAACAAGGTGGGAGAAAAACATTTTCAGGATATTTTCAGTTCCACAAATGCTAAGGCACGACACCAACACGGTATCTACTGGAAGCTAATGCTAAGGCGCTAACTTCAATTCAAAACGTCTCTGCCCTTCAAAGACTACAACCATTTAGCACAAATGTAATTTTGACATTATAATTTGCATATTCTATAATGCTCTTAGACATTGTATTTGTGTTTACAACTTGTTCTCTCCTGTCCGTGTTTTATTTTGTTCCTGTTTCTTGTTTGAGGAAACAGAACTGCTGAGTAAATGGTCTCCAACCACTTCAAAATAAGAGCATGAATAGAAACGTCTATTTGAATTCTTAACAGTCCAAAATTTCAACACAGATGTTCAATTTTATACAAAACAGCCACGTAAATTAGCGCTTAAGAATTTATCTAAAAAAAAAAAATTATAGAAAGCTAAGTGCTAACAGTTTTCAAAGTTAGCAACGCTAAACAGAAAATTAGCTCTGCTGTTAGTACATTAGCGGTTATGTAGGGTTATAAAAAGCATATGAGTGATGATCTTTTAAATCTAATATTCCTTTACATTTTTTTAATAATATTTTGATAACTACGTTCATTCTGGTGAGCAAAAAACTCCTTATTACCAGTTGAGAGTAAGACCAGGAACCTGGGTTTGGCTTTAAACTGGATTAGCCTCTTATCTAGTCTTCGTCTTAAAGGATCCACTCACCAAAGAAACAACCGAAAAAAGTCGACACTATCCTCGCTGCCCTAAATCTGGCCTACAGACACAAATACGAGTTTAGGGGTCAAGGCATCGTGTTTAGATTCCTGCCCGAGGTCGGGAACCCTCCCCCCTCGTTGCCGAGTCCCGAGGCCACGGCGGTACCGCTACGTGGAAAGCGATGTCTAAAACAACGAAGTGAGGGGGAGTCGAGAGAGTTTGGACTGCTGTATTTATCTGTGGTGGCTCTCTTGTGAAGACTGTGCTCAGATTTGGTTCAGGGGGGGGGAAATCTCAGCCCACCTCATCTTTACGCTGACCCTGACAGTGACCCCTCTCCCTCAGCTCTTATCTCTATCCCAGAAGCTACGGGGCGTTTTTAAATCTTACCGGCAACAACACAGAAGGTAAAAACAGGCCGAGGTGTTTTAAAATCCAGCCGTTTGTTTGTTTAAATCACATCTTGTAATTCTGAGGAGGAAATATATATTTGTTTTATTGAATGCAGAGAGCAAACCCTGGGAATGAGAAAAAAAAAGATTACACACAGAAACCTTGACCACATGCTGAGTGAAAGACAGGCATGCAAGTAAACGGTGAGGATGGGCTTTTAGGAGCAGTCCGCACTGAAACCGCAGCTCTAGATGGGGCAGAACATCGACCGCAAATAAAAAAAAAAAAACGTATCGTTTTGCTCCTACGAACACACAACGCTCTCTGTAACTGTCTGTCAAACTGCAACAAATGAGCTAATATCCATTTTTTAACAGACGTATTGATTTATAGTATGTGCCTGTGTATGCTATTGATTCTCTTTGTCTCTCGGGAAATTACATGAGATGCATCTTTTAGGAAATGGAGCCCAGAGAGAACTTTTAACCTCTCTGACTGGATCCCAGCACTTCCTCGGTCCCTCGACCTCGCGATTGCTGCTGCTCTTTCAACAGTAATGCCAGATGTTTGATAACCTGCGAGTCGGATTGAAGGGGATTACAACGGCCCAGGGGAGAGGATGGAGGTGGGAGAGTGGGATGCATGGACAGACTGGTACATAAATACATTTCTAAGACTAACTTGGGTTTGGGTGCACTGTCTCATTTATTTTAAAACAGAAACAATTACATTTGAATTTTGCTGTTTTTTTTGTGTTTTTTTATGGTAGAATATTTGCTAAAAAAAATGTATAAAAAAATTTATATTTATAAAAATGTTCATTATTTTTTTTTATAAATATTTGTAAAAATAACATATTTTAACATATAGAAATATATATAAAAACATGCTAAATTTAGTAATATTTTTTAGTATTCATAGTGAAGAATAGCTAATTTATGTTCAGTTCTTACAGTAATATAAGAATATACAAGCTTATATTAGCTGGTTCATTAGCTAGTCTGGATGTTTCTCTGTGAAAATATATCCAAAAAGATAATTTTTTTTAATCTTTTTGGATATATTTTAATTCAAGCAAAAAAAAAAAAAAAAAAAAAAAAACAGGGGAGAGTTTTTTTTTCCACTTAACCTCACTTTTTCAGCAACAGGCGGGGGGGGG